AGAAGATGACTTTCCATATAGCATTACTGAATCTGTCCCTATGTATACTGACATCCAACACAAAATGAAGACTAAATGAATTCACTCATTCCCGTAAGTTCATTCTAATAAAACGATATGGAGCTTCTGCAAAGAAATTCTGTTACTTGCATGGGTACATATATATATATATATATTCACATACATTTATAGATACATATTTTAATATAAAATAAGAAGAAATGTCTCACATTTATATCATTCAATATCTATTTTACCAGGTTAGTATGAAACTAAATAAGAGATCTGAAAAGTCAAAACAGGTGCTTTGAGAGGCATTTCCACTTTTCCCTTCAAGACCATTATTCAAGACCAAATGCTTCAAGCATTCTTCATCTGACATGCCACTTGCTTTTTCCTTCCTATCCCTTATTTCATGAATAAAGACCAAAAGCACAAAGAAAGACCAAAAAAGAGTGCACACTATCTATAAAAAAGGTATGTTTGGGGGGTTGGTTGACGGGAGGGGAGTGTGTTATAACTACMCTTTCTCTGTTCTGTACAGGAGGGCCAAGCCAAATTTTGCCTCTTGCCACGAGGAGYAGTAGACAGAACTAGCAGTGTGGAAGCTCAATATAAAATCAGAAACARGCCTGAGGCAGCAAAAATGCCCTGTATCCTACGTGGAGTTAACAATGTTCTTCCATCCTCCCCAAGTTTTTCCCCTTTCCTATTAAAGCTTTCTTTGCTGCTGTATTTGAACTTTTCAGTAATTTATCCCAGAGATATGGGAGGGCATATCTCTAATAATAACCTCTATAAATTAAATCATAATTTATCCCAGAGTGGGAGGGCAGAAGGGAAGCAGAGGCCGGTGTCACTGCATGGATGGGAACATGGCATTTCTGCAGGCCACGTTACTTCCAGGACACAGGAAGCAGGGATACAGCCTGCATCAGGATACAGCCTCTCTCAGTCCCACACCACCCAAGGGGACCGAGGCGGCGGCAGAGGGAAGACACCTCGGATAAGAGCCAGCAGATGACAGCTACTCCACGYGCTGGAACTCGAGCTGCGCGAGGCTGCCTGCAGGGCTCACGAAACACATCCTGGTCGCGCCTAAGCAGGCACCCCCTCCCTCRCAGAGAGGGGCGCTGCTCAGAAACGAGTCCTTCATTAATCACAAAAAAAACCTAAGGCCGGCTACAGATCAACAAGTGACATTTTAAGTGATAAATAACCTCCTTTCTGGTCGCCTCCTGCTGTTAGAATTGGCATTTAGAAGCCTTTAGGATTCACGTCACAGTTTAGCAAAGACAAACTTTGTGAAATAAGAGACTTTGTAGAAGTTACAAGTTTCAAAGTAGAGCAAAGCACCATCCCTGCTTGACCTGTAGCACTTGTGTGCGCTAAAATCCACCATGTCCAACACTAAGCACACCTCAGTACATAGCCCAAAACACCATTCCACAGCGATGYGAGCTGCACACTAAGCACTGCTGTCTGCTTCGGTCAGAGATCCACAGAAAAACAGGGCCAGCAATGAAGTTTTCAGGAACATGCAGGCCAGGTAACTGCGTTGCAACTGACACAACATTATTCGTATCATACCTCCAAGCCTTAAATGACTGTTYAGGCTTAGAAGAGGTTCACAACTCTTCAGGGTGCCACACTCATACCTCCTATAAGTCACATTTTCATGTTACAAATAATGTATAAGTGATGCTGTGAACTTTTGTTGGCTTCCTGCAAACCACCACCTTTCCTATGGGAATCTGAGCAGTACTGACAAGGGAATATATTAGCTGCAGAGTTTTCAAGTCTTTGCTATCAAAAGGTGTTCCTGGCAAGATCCTTAACCGTACACTCTTTGAATCTAAAAATTGAAAGGAAATAAAAGATCAAGAGCTATGATCTCTCTGATCTAGTGCAAAAAAATAGATAACTAGACAGAATCTATAACATCATGTCTCTCTAGCAAATAAAATAAACTGTTCATTTTATTAAATTCTTCATTCTTAATGTTGAAGGATTTGGTAAAGTTTCACAGAATCACAGGGTGGCTGAGGTTGGAAGGGACCTCTAGAGACCATCTAGTCCAACCCCCTGCTCCAGCAGGGACACCAAGAGCACGGGGCACAGGGCGGCATCCAGGCCGGTTTGAAGATCTCCAGCGGAGGAKCAGGATCCTCAGGCAGCCTGTTCCAGGGCTCTGGCACCCTCACAAGCACAAGTTCTTCAAGAAAAATGTTATTTGGGTACACCACAGCACTTTTTTTTTTTTAAATTAGGAGAAAACTTGAATCATACATAGCCACCTGAAAAATTAAAATTTACAGTGTTGCACAGCTAGTGACTTTAGACTCCTTTGCTTTTGGAAGGGGCTACACATTCAAACACGCTGACAGAATGCTTCACTCGTGTGGAATTACTGCTCTTTTAAACTAGTTTACACTTTCCTTAGTTGTGCAGACAGCTAAGAGACATCTMAGAAACACTCAGGCCACAGAGCCAGTATCAGCCTTGTGCCACAGCAAGTATCAGCTTGTGACAGCTGCCAGTTGGAAACCACTCCACACAGTTGATCACTGGAACAAAATGTTCCAGATAGAGAGAAGACTGATACATAGCCATAAATACAGTTTTGAAAGTTAAAAATAAGTTTATTTCAATCACATGCCAACTTGTTTATATAAATACATTAATCTTTCATGCAGTCATATCTGTTTTGCAATTAAAAAAGGTAAGATTTTTCTGGATATTTACTAACAAGTGATTTCTGTCTTAAGACAAAAAGATTTTGTCTTACAAGTGTCTTTATGAAGCATCTGTGCTGGAAAGCGGCAGCCTTGTAG